CTCATTGCATCTTAGGCATTCATAAGACTTAATTAAGCCATGGTAATGAGGTTATGGATTAGAAACACGCCAAGAAAAAGAATGTACTAAGTTAAGAGTTTATAAGTGTGTGTTTTAAGCAATGTGATAAGAAAGAATAAGAACCATTGTAATGAAAGCTAAGCTGTGATGGCCACATGAATTCGTAATGTTAAGATATGTTGGTGTTATGTACTTTTGTGTTTGTAGGTCAACGTCTGGATGTTGATTGACCGTTTGCGGGAACCACTGTGAGTAACATTTCTGTAAAGATATGTTGATATGAATTATGTTCCAAATGTAATATGTTAAGTCATGATTTTTGAGATGATTATTTACGTGAACGAATGTCCTATGTTTGAAATCTATTATGGCATCCATATATAGTCCCAAGTCATGGGGGACGGCATGTTGATGTGGGTCTATGACATACATGTGATTACGAGATCTCGTTAGCCACTTCATTGTGGTGATATGTGTTTAATCGGTATCTGGAACCGATTACTCTAGTCGGAAGACGATATGTGATGTGTTCTATGGGATGTACCATTATTATATTCAGATACAAGAATGTTATGCTATGATCTGTTTTACGCTTATGATATGCTCGGATTTCGTTCACAAACCCCTTTACCTTAATGTTATTCACTGGGCTATAGCTCACTGTGTGTATATATATGCATAGGTGGGCATTTCAGAGATCGAGCCTGAAGGCTTTTGTCGAAATCTGTGTTCTGTTGGCAGCCAACCATTGTGCCTCACGTGGAGGTTCTCGAAGTGTCTCATGTGTTAAAGTTTCAGTTGTTTCCGTATATGGAACTTGTTTGTTTTGGTGGTTGTACTTAAGATACTTTAATGTGTGTGGGTATAATGTATGAATGACTTTTGAATACATATATAAAGTTTTAATTATTCCTTTTCATATAAGTCAGCATAGCTCATTGGACAACTATATTTATGTATTTGCTTCGGCTAGCCCCTAAATTTTGCTAATCAGTTCTGAGGCCTTCGGTAATCCAAGGATTACTGGCTGGTTACGATGCGAAACCTATAGGGACGGGTTTGGGTCGTGACACCTTTCCTGCACCAAAATCCCATAAGGGTGAGCATAAAGCCCAGTAGAGAATTCTCACAAAGTATATACAGTTATGCAGCTCTCAATGCCATGCAATGCAACTTCAAAAAAAAAGTTTTATTTCATTTTCTTCTTGATGATCATCATGTTTCAATAAAAAGTTGCATTTCAAGAATTTTCGAAACTTCCAATTTTAAATCAATAGGGGCGGTAAATACGACACTGGTAATCCCTAAGCTAGTGTCTGCAAGTAGACTATATAAGTACTACCAAATTATCATTTTTACCAGTATTACCCGGAAGGCTCGACACCTATCTGCTCGGGTTTCTAGTCTTTCACCATGGACACTCAGGCCAACTTATCAAGTTCAACTACACCCCCTATTCGGACTTACCAACGTATTTACCCCATACCACATTTCCACGATTCTTATTACGATGCCACTTTCTTTCATGAAGTAAATATCTTCAATCTAAACTCACGATGCATAATAATAATAATTTGAATGAGTATGCAATGCAATGATTTTCAATATCTCATAACATTTCTCCATTTTCAAATATCTCTTCAATAATGTCAACAATCACCTTTCCCATTACCTCTTTTCAATGTTCTTGCCCAAGATAACCACATGTCATCTACACTTAGTTACAATTTCATATTTCACAATTCTTAACAACATAGTCTCATCAAGACTACATGTAATATTTTTAAACATTAATTCCCAATGTTTATAATTCTCACAAATCCATAGTGCACAACAATTTGTTATCTCACAACTATATATCATCATATATGTAACAATGGTTTCTAAAACAATTTCTTCATTTCAATATATCAATTTGATTGCCAATTTGTAAAAACTACATCATGAAGCCTACACATATCCATTCTTTTATCACAAGAAGAGTAAGAACACTGTAGCCATTTCCATACTTTCCAAAATCCCCAATTTGTAGGGTTTTTCAACAAAGACAAAGCATTTCTCCATTTCCTTGGTGAAACCCTACCAAAATCATATCTCTTAAGTTTTATAAAAGGAAATCCTCATGGATTAACAAAGGAATGAGTTTTAAAACCCATGTCTAAAACTCTCTACACTTTGAGTCAAAATTTTAAAATCAATACAATGCTTCAAGAAAACTTTTATTTCAACACCAATGTAGCAGAACATGTATATATGACTCAAGAAATCCCTACCTCAAGGATTGATGAAGAAAAGAGAGGAAACCCTAGAGATCCAAGATGCTCCAAACTCAATCTCCACTGCCTAAAATGTAGCCCTAGCTTTGATCTTCAAGACTTGAAAGAGAAGATGGATTTAAACCCAAAAGATTGCAAGAAATCAAGGGTTTTTGAGGTTTGTAGGAAGTTTTCTAGAGAGAATGAGGAGTAAAAATGACTTTTAGAGTGAGAGAGAAAGGTTAAAAAATGATACATTTTCGGCCAAAATGAGAAATAAAAACAGAGTTTTCGGACTCAGGCCCGTCACGCACGTGCGAAGCCTCTCTCCCGTATGTGCGGCTCCCATCCCTAGACATGCGGCCCTCCCTGCACTTCCCCCTCCGCACCTGCAATTTAAGCAGTGTGCTATGCCAAACAACCCCTGAATTCCGCACGTGCGGCCTCACCCTCCGCATGTGTAGCCTCCCTCCCACACGTGCGGCCCAAGGCCCCCGCACGTGTGGCCCCTGTTTCCAGCCCAGAATTTCCTCGTCTCGCTCCCGGGCACTCCGGGCTTGGCCGCGCACCCTCCGAAACAAGAGAGATTTAACCTCGAATAAAACAAAACAAGAACTATTATTTTGAGAATTATTTTCCGAACGTTTTAAACCCGACAAGAGCAAAAGGAGAACGGGGTGAAGAAAATAAAGACTAGGTCGTCACAATATATATAAAGTTTGATTCAGAAGTTATGCAATTAATATATATATTTATATATAAAGTTTGATTTAGAAGTTATAAACAATGCCATCAATATCTAGATCTATAAACCTTATATATATATAAAGTTTGATTCAGAAGTTATAAACAATGCCATCAATATCTAGATCTATAAACCTCTACCTAGGAAAGATAAAAAATAAAAAATAATAATAATAAAGAAGAAGATGAAAGATTGTTTGATCTAAATTCTATGATTTCTTTATTTGATGAATATAATTAATTGAGTGATTTGGTGAGAAATATTGAACCAGTTTCAGTTTATACATATGCAATCTCATCTTCACTGTACATATATATATATATATATGTGTGTGTGTGTGTGTGTATATGTGTGTGTGTGTGTGTGTGAAATATAATTTTGGAGATGAATCAATTTAATGTGGGAGAAGGTTTAAGGATGGCGTGTGAGGGGAGGTGTTGTGGTGGTGGTGTGATGGATATGGGTAGTGGTTTGAGGGGAGGAGAGAGAGAGAGAGAGAGAGAAGAGGTGAAGAAAAAGAAAGTTGAAAATAAAATGGCATCTTTTGTAAATTTGAAGAGGTAGAAAGGGTATTTTCGTCATAAAAACAGACTCACTCTCTATAGAGGCGCATGACTTTCACATTTTGTTATCTTAGATAGAAAAGCTAACTGTGCGCTTTAGTCCATCAATCACAAGAGGGTTATGTGGTGATTTCTAAATGTCAGGAGGGTAAACCGCACCCGACCCAAACCACAGGGGGTAAAGTAAAGTTTGCCCAAAAAGAAAAAATAAAAATCAATGCCATTTTAATTAGCCCATCTGTTGTGGTATAAATTAGCAAGTTGCAACCCAAGTTGTCAAATTTTTTTTTTCTTTGGTACAATGGAATGTGATTGGAGAAATTGCAATTAAGTGGAACAGTGAAAAAATAATTATATTATAGTTGAATATTTCATTTTTGGTAAAATTATGATACACGAGAAATATTTGTACCAAATACAAGAAAAGATAACCCATAACAAATAGTTGTTTATGATCTCAGTAATTGATTCCATAATGGATGATGATATACAAACATAAAATTTGTATTAAAAAATCCATACGGGATAACATGGCAAATTTATGTCCATTCATTTTAAATTAAAAAGCATTTCAAATTGATTTGTAATTTTTAAAATATCATTACCACAATATTCTTATAAGACTTTTTGCGTTAATTTTTTATTTACAAATCACTTTCATTCTATAATTAGTTCTCATACATTAGTATTATAGACTATATATATTATCTTAATATTAATCATATACATATATATATATATATATAATTTTTGCATCTCTCCCAACCAATTTGGTTCGTTTGATATCATCTATAAGATTATAATTTTTAAATTATTTATTTGTTGTAACTTTTCATTAAAAAAAAATGAACCTATTTAGTTAAATAACTTCTCAAATAATGCTAGGTATCATGAAAAAAAATATCATGAAAATTATCATGAAAGATTCTCCACCGTTAATTACACATACAAAAAAACACCATACACTAATCAAAGGATAAAAACTCTTCATGAAGAATTTCATAATATTTTTTTCATAATTCCTAATATTATTCTTTTGGTGTGTGTGTCTTAGACAAATATTCAAGATTCTTTCAAAAGATATAATAATGACAAAATGGATGGGTTCTTTTATCAATACATATTTAATATTTTCAAATAAAATAAAAAATTTACAATTTGTAACTTAATCTAACTTTTTTTATTTGCCAAATAAACTAGGGAAAATATCACTTTAGCGTATACTTTAAAAAATATTTTCAAATCATACACTTTTTAAATAAGTAATAATTTAAAATCGCTACCTAACACAATTTATGAACATTTTTATTCAATCAAGTAAGTTAAATAAATTGGGTTAGGAGTGCTACATTTGTCAATCTTGCAGACAGTCAAAAATTGTGCGTTTGGCCACAAGTCCATATCCATAATACCACCGTAATTATTAATAAGAAGTAGTACACCCGTGAAACAAGAAGAAGAAGAAGAAGAAGAAGAAGAAAGAACACTTTGGTGACTATGGCGGAACCTGTAGCTCTATCTTTTGTAACCTTCGTGGTGAAAAAGTTGGGGGAGTTGCTCCTCCAGGAAGCGCTAAACTTGCGTGGGGTGAGGCCTCAAGTTGAGCAATTCCAAGCCCAGCTAAATAGGATGCAATGCTTCTTAGAAGCTGCAGATGCAAGACCAAAAGGAGAAGCAGATGAGATTGTAATCCGCAACTGCGTTGCTGAGATCAGAGAAGCATCCTATGATGCTGAAGCTGCAATTGCTACTTTTGTTGTCAAAATTGGATTTCATACTAGTGGGAGATCAGATCAGTTCCCTTTCGTTCTCAAGAGGTATTTGTGTATCTTCAAGGAATATTCAGCCCTTCGTGAGGTTAGGTTGGAGATTGAGGCTATTAATACCAGGATCACCAATAGCCTCACAACAGGTTTTCTAACTTGTGGAATACTAAATTCTACAGGAGTAGGAGAAAGTTCATCATCTACTTCTATGGCCGAGAGGCAGCAACAATTAAGGCGATCCTATACCCATATTGTTGAGGAGGATGTTGTCGGCACAGAAGAAGATGTAAAAGCTATAGTGGATCTTTTGGTGAAGGAGAATATGCATTATAGAGTTGTTTCCATTTGGGGGATGGGTGGTCTTGGCAAGACCACCCTTGCTAAGAAAGTTTACAAACACATTGAAATTAAGCGTCATTTTAAATGTGTTGCCTGGGCCTATATATCTCAACAATGCAATACAAGGGAAGTTCTTGAAGGGATTCTTATCAAACTTCTCTCTCCATCAAATGAAGAAAGGGAAGCAATTAGAAAGATGAAACATGATGAGCTAGTCAAGGAACTTCATCAAGTCCAAAGTGAGAAGAAATGTTTGGTGATTCTCGATGACATTTGGAAGGATGCAGATTGGGATAGTTTGAGTCCAGGCTTCCCAAATACTACAGGGGTAGGCAGCAAAATATTGCTAACAACTCGCAATGAAAATGTTGCTAAGCATGTAGATCAACAATGCGTGCTTTATAAATTGAGGCACTTAACAGAAAATGAGAGTTGGGAGCTATTTGAAAAGAAAACATTTCTGAGAAGAAAAGAAGGTACCGGTAATTATTAACATCCTACATGATCTAATTAATTATTTGTACTTTAGTTTCAAATGTCTTTCTTAAACTACTTTCCTTTCGGATTTCAATTCTTTCAATTTGACAATTCAATTTGAGAGAATAGTTTGGTTTTGATGGGCCCATTTTGGACCAACTTCGGTAAATTAAAATTGTTTATTTTTTTCAAAATTCATTAGGTGGAATATTCATGTAAAAACTAGCTTGAACAAAACAAACCATACATACCGTGGGTTGTAGCTATGGTACAGAATTCAAGAATAACCACTACAGGAAAAAGCACATTTAACGACCAAATTTCCCGACTAAAAAATATTTGATCGCTGAAAGTTAGCTTTCAGCGACCAAAACAGCATTAGTAGCCAAAAGTAAAGCTTTTTGGCGACTAAATAATTTTAGTAGCCAAAAGTCTACAATTGGCGACTAAAAATAAGTTTGGTTGCTGATTATATGTGTTTTAGTGACTAAAAAATTTTTAGTAGCCCAAAGTAAAGCTTTTTGGCGACTAAAAAAATTTAGTAGCTAAAAATCTACAATTGACGACCAAAAATAAGTTTGGTCGCTGATGATATGGGTTTTATCGACTAAAAAAATTTTAGTAGCCAAAAGTAAAGCTTTTTGGTGACTAAAAAAATTTCAGTAGCCAAAAGTCTATAATTGGCAACAAAAAAATAAGTTTAGTCGCCAAAAGTGGTCATTTTTAGCGACTAAAATTATTTTGGTCGCTAAAAGTTAATTTTTTATTTTTATTTTTGCTACTAAATAGTTTATTTTACATAAATTATGTAATAAAACAACTATGTTTATACATATACTTTTATATTAATATGGGTGTATGTACTATATAAATAATATATGTCACATATATAGTCATGTAGTGCCATAGAGGCGTAGTGGGAAGAGTGTGGTGCATAAGGTTTATGGTGCAGATGGTTAGCAGTTCAAGTCCCTACAAGAGCCAATCAAATTGCTATACAATGCATTTTTTTTTTTTTTCACGTTTGAAGCTTTTGGCGACTAAAGGTGTTGGTCGGCAATTCCTTAACTATTGGCGACTAAAACATTGGTCGGTAAATGTATAATTTTAAAGAAATACAATTGACTATTGGCGACCAAAATTTTGGTCGCTAAAGACTTTCTTTTTGCCGACCAAAGGTTCTTTGGTTGGCAAAACCCTCAAATACCTTTCTCGACAGGGTTTTGGCGACAGATGTAACGACCAAAATCTTTGGTCGCAGAATATCATTGGTGACCAAAAAATAGACAATTGGCGACCAATTTTTAGTCGCTAAAAGTGACTTTTTTTGTAGTGAACTAAGGCCCTGTTTGATTAATAGCGGAAGGATTAATAATTTTATGAATTAGTGTAGGATTAGTTATTCAATTAAATTAGTGAGATAACAATTTATTATATATTTATTTTGGTTTTTTATTTCATATTTGAAATTATGATCTCCGCCCCTCTCGATATTAAAAATTTGTCAATTTCATCGATTGAATGTCTGCTGACATGTAATCCAGTTAATAAAATTTACAATAAAAAATGAGATTGTGAGTCCATAAGTTAACAATCTCAATCTTATGCTATAATCTTACAATGCGCATTCAAAAGGGTGCATATGGTATGTTCTTCATAACTCTTCTATAAAATTTTATAAATAACATAAACCATTAAATTTTATAAATTTTCTTACCACAAAAGTCATAACTTCTAACCACAAAATATCATTAAAAAAGTCAAAAGTCATAACTTCACCATTAGTAACTTTAAGATGCACAACATAAATTAGGCCTACTTGTTTATCATTTTTATTCACTATTGATAACTTTATCATATAATGACATAACACATTACAAATATTCATTACTTTCATCACATAAAATCATAACTTTCTTTCGATTTGTACCCACGTCCTTAGGGAAGCACGCTTTAGATTTGTCTAGATAACAAATATAATATATGAAAATAACTTATATTGCAATATTTTGTTAAAAATTAGGACAATAAATCATATGCTACTTATGCCCAATTTGTGTTCAACTTGTTCAAAGTTTGTTTGGGATCAATTTGTTAAAAGTTTACATTATTTTCATTTTTTATGTAAGGTTTAAAATTTTGAGAATTTTCTCAAAATCAATTTTTTAAAATAGTTTCACCCAATCCATTTTTGTGTATCATTTTAATTTTTATAGTTTTGGGAACAAAGAATTTTAGCCTACATACAATGTTAGTTGGACCTCACGTCAAGTGATGAAACTCACATATAATTTTTGCGTTGTAGTTAAAAATTCATTGGTATATTTATTGGTTTCTTAGCATTATTGTTTGGAGGACTTATGTGTAAGTTCTGATAGGTGGACTTATTATCCAATAGGTCCCATGAAAATTAATAACATTTTTCATCAAATACTATTTAAAAAGTCACTAATTGTTAATTTTCAGTAACAGTTTAAAATTTGTCCAAAAAAATGTCACTAATTATAAGTTTAGTGACAGTTTTTAAAAAATCATTACAAAAAAAAATCACTAATTTTCAACTTTCAACGATAGTTTAAAAAATTCGTTATAGAAAAACGTCACTAATTGTAAGTTTTAGTAACAATTTATAAAACCGTGACAAAAAAAAGTCACTAATTGTGAATTTTTAACGACATGTATAAAATATTGTCACAAAAAATTATTTTTAGCGATGATTTTACTAGGACTTATTGGTAGTTTACCCTAGGTCGTAACAGTTTGCCTTAATTCCCATTAAGTCTTATTGAAAATAAGTCCTAATAAAATCGTCGCTAAAAATAATTTGTTGTGACGATTTTTTTGCATGTGTTATTAAAAATTAACAATTAGTGACTTTTTTTGTCACGATTTTTATAAATTGTCGCTAAAACTTGCAATTAGTGACTTTTTTGTGATGAATTTTTCACATTGTCACTAAAAGTTGAAAATTAGTGAAGTTTTTTGTGACATTTTTTTAAACCGTCGCTAAAATTTATAATTAGTGACATTTTTTGTGACAAAATTTTCAAATTGTTGTTAAAAATTAACAATTAGTGATGTTTTTTTAATAGTATTTGATGAAAAACATTATTAATTATCATAGGACCTATTGAACAATAAGTTCAACTATTAAGATCTACACATAAGTGTCCTTAGGACTTATTAGTAGTTTATCCTTATTGTTTTTAAAATAAATACGCATTGCTATTTTTTATTTATATCAGTACCATCCATATAGACTAGTGCAAACTTACTAACAAATGCATTTTTTTCCCCTCTAATTTGTAGGACTCACATCAAACAGAAAAATAATTGAGTTAGGGAAGGCAATGGTCAAGCATTGTGGTGGTGTTCCATTGGCGATTGTGGTATTAGGAGGACTTTTGGCAACAAAATACACATTGGAGGACTGGAAGGAGGTGAGTAAAAACCTTAGTTATGACTTAGGTAAGGGCAAAGGCCAAGCAAGAGTCTCAATAACAGAAATTTTAGCCTTAAGCTACCAAGACTTGCCTTGCCATCTTAAGGCATGTTTTTTGTATTTGAGCCATTTTCCTGAAGATCATGATATTCATGCGAAAAAACTTATTCAAATGTGGATGGCTGAAGGCATTGTGTCGCCACGAGTAGGAGAACTAGAAGAGAAAACAATGTTGGATGTTGGAATGTGTTACATGGGTGAGTTAGTCCAAAGATGCATGGTTCAAGTCCAATTAACAAGCTTCAGAAAAAGAATTAAACTTTGTCGCCTCCATGATCTCATGAGAGACTTGTGCTTGCTAAAGGCCAAAGAGGAGAATTTTCTCAAGATTGTTCGGATTAAAGCCTTTGGTCATCAGCTCGGGTGGGCAGACTCTACGTTGCCTTCTTCATCATCACCATTAACAAGAATCCGCAGGCTTGCCGTATACTATTTGGATGACTATGATATCAACTCTATAAAAAGTGAAAATGTAATTCTCTTATCTAGACATGAAATGAAGAATCACAACCATATCCGATCATTTCAATTTTACTCTTTGGGCAAAGATTTGGGATGTTCTGATTGGCAAAAATTAAAATTACTCTTCACGGGCCTCACATTGATTACAGTTTTAGACCTTGAAAGAATTACTATATATCCGGTAGACAAAATGTTTCCGAGAGCAATAGGAAACCTAATTCACCTGAGGTATTTAAGTATAAGAGGTTCTAACATTAAAAGTTTGCCTTCGTCTATAGGCAACTTAGGATTCCTCCAAACCCTAGATTTAAGGGGACGGGGGAGTTTAAGAATACCCAATGTCTTGTGGAGGTTGAAACAATTGAGACATCTATATCTTTCTGATAGAATCAAGCTATCTTGCATAGGTAAGTTGCGATTGGAAGGTTTAAGCAAATTGGAGACGCTAGAAAACTTTGATGCAAGGAAGTGTGATGTCAGATGCTTATCTAAACTGACAAATCTTCGAAAATTCAGTGGTGAGGTAGCCCCCAAAGACTTGGTCGTAATGTTGAAATCCCCAATCCTCAACAATTCAAACCGCCGTCTGCAATATTCATCCTACGATATTACAGGAGATTTCCGAACAGAAGAAGAACAAAGCCTTTTAAGGCAACTTTTAGGATGCCACCATCTTCGTCAATTGTCTTTATCAGGGTCGGTTAAGACATTGCCAGGCCAATTCCCTCCAAATCTCACCCAGTTAATCTTGTTGTATACTGAACTAGAGGAAGACCCAATGCCAACATTGGAGAAGTTCCCCAACTTAAGAACTCTCTTCTTAGGTGAAAATTCCTACATGGGGAAGGAGATGGTTTGTTCTTCTGCACCACCACCAACAACAACAGCACCATCCAGCAGCAGTGGTGGAGGAGGGGGCTATGGCGGCTGTGATGGTGGAGGTTTTCTGAAACTCATATCTTTGGAGCTCTGGAATATTGAAAACTTGGAGGAGTGGAGGGTGGAACAAGGAGCCATGCCTTGTCTCTTCCATTTAGAGATTGGTGGATGCCCAAAATTGAAGGAGATTCCGGACGGATTGAGGTTCATTACCGCCCTCCGTGAATTGGATATTAAATACGCATCTAAAGCCCTCCAACAGAGGTTTAGAGAAGGAGGAGAAGACTTCGACAAAGTCAAGCATGTGCCTTCCATCATAATTTAAGTATTGACGACTGATCTTTCTCGGACCTTCCTACATTTACATCAGGTTGGTTGGTCCATGCTTAGTTTCTTTCCCCTCTCTTTCCTTTCCTTTCCTTCCTTTTGTTTAGGGTTAATTTCACTTTTATCTCTAAGCTATCAAATTTTTTTATTTCTTCTCTAAGCTATCAATTTCATCTATTTAGTCCATTAAATTCCTAATTTTTATTCATGTGGTCCAATTAGAGACGATTGTAAAAATCAATAACCTTTGAAAAAAAAAAAAAAAGAGATAATTTTATAATTTGAACAACTTAAATCATACAATTAAACACCCATTAAGTTGGTTGTGGGTTTTAATTTATTCAAAATAATAAGAAAAATTAGTGTTTCACGGTTTAAGATGTTCAAATTCTCAAGTAACATTTTTTTTAATCAAATTAAGTTTTAACTGTTATTTATTGTATAATTGTCTCCAATTGGACTACAGAAACATAAATTCAAAACTTTAGGAACTACATAGACGAAAATCATGGTTTATGAATGAAATAGAAAAAATGGTGATATTTGTGACTTCAATAATCCGAAACCATGTCAAAACGAATTTTTCAGAGTATTAGTGGTACTAGGTTCAAAAATTCTTATGATGTTCTCAGAGTGGCCACTATTGCAATCTCATGGCTCAATTGGTGTTGGAGAAACATGATCTTATGCAACTTAGGTAACTCTTTTTATGTTTGCATACGACACACGATGCAACTCTCCTCTCTGTGGTTTGTGTGCTGGATAGAATTTTTTCTAGTGTTGTTTATGAATCTAATGACATGTCTTTGTTCATAAAATGGAGATAATAGACAATTAGTATGTGAAACCTTGTGCTTAGCTTCTATATTGACTTCTTGAAAAACATAAATAATTAATCATACTCCAACATTTACAAGGCATCCTTGCAGACCCGATTGTCCAAAGGCTACAGTGGCTGGGTGTGGAGACAAAACAGAACCAAAGAATCAACCTATTCCCTTTCAAAAATCAACCTACTACTTTTCAATTCAATGCATAAGAACCCACTTGGAAACTTGATTTTATGACAATCTTCAAAATGCAGAGAAGTTTGTGGACTGATATTGATTTGCTGAAGTTAAACATATTCAACCAGCTTTCACTTATTGTTACAGTGATAATTGCAGAGTCTAAATGAGTCGAGATTTGTATCAAGAGCAGTATCACAATTGAACTTTAAATCACATATTCCGATGAATTTAGTACAAGAAAATTACACATTTGCCTTGCTTTAGCTTTTTACTGACTTTAGTGCAAGCAAATTCTGAAACTATCATTAAAACGACTTGAATTCTACTGTAGTTAATCCTGTTGGCCAATCCTCGTTTATTGTTTGAATATGCAAAACGAATGGCCGCTTGCTTCTTCTATTAGTCCTGGAACATCAAAGTGGGAAGGCCTTATGATATGCAATCTCTCCTGTAGTTTTGCGGTAATTCATGATTTGATCACTTGGTTCAGCATTCCATAGCCTTCATGAGAAAACCACTGTTCAAACAGTCTACATATCTAGACATTTTATTTTAAAGTCAATGTCTATTCACCAAACTTTTACAGATTTGAAAGAATTTGAAATCCAAATTTCAGGTTCATACTGTGCAGAGGCCTTGTGCTCCATTAGCTGCATCTCTTTCTGCTCTTAAATGGCTTATAAGCACAATTTTTTGCATATTAATATTGTTACTAACTCTGACTCTATTTCAGCAGATGGAGGGCAATAAGATATCCAGGTGGTGGCAGCTCCATTGTTTTTGGATGTTTGTTATCTTGCACAATCTTTCCATTCGTGCCAATTATATCTCTACAGCCACGGAGTTTGCTCACAGCAGCGTTTTCCTTAGCCTGGTTTGCAGCATTTTCTTGCATCTCTTCTTCTCATGGAGAGGCCTACTTGACAGCCTCTAGTCAATCTACTGTTTGCTTCGTGCCTGGTCTCAATTAAGGTCTATATGTTACCTCTGGTGGTGTTTTTTGTTTTTGCTTGAGTGTTTATTGGTTGTTGTTTCCTGAACTACATTATTCCTGAACTATGTTACTTTTTATATGTATTAATGAATGATGTTCTTTTCTTGTGCCAAAAATAAAAAATAAAAAATATACAATATTGTGGAATCCTATGTTTGGTGGTGTCATAACACACCTAACACTTTTTGCCATTGTGTTTACTTGATCTCGGTTCTCAACAGTTAATATGTAACACAGCTAGATTATGGGCTGCTCAATGAATATATGAGTTGTATTCATCATGATAAGTCCTTACTATTTAGTCTTCAATCCAAGCAGTCAATAGTACATTGATGCCCAGAGACAGCTGAAATGTTCTGCGGTGCTACTTTGCAGTAATGTTAAATTGCAATTTGTGGTTCCAATAGCATACACCAGCCTTCATTTGAAAACATGCCAAGCAAGCTGAAGAACTTCTGATCATCTGTGGGTAGTACAACAATTTGAACAGAGCATAATAGACACATTCATTTGTCTCACTCGCATTGAAATGGACGAGGCAATGAAGACGTATAAATATTTTCAGCAGTATGTATGATATGGCTGTGTTATTTTGTAACAAGGCATCTGTTTTTTTAGTTCACAATGGATTGAGCTCATTCTATTTCAATCCCTTTCTTCCTTGTGTGGGGCTGCTCTAAGCTTTTCTTGACTTTGTGATAATTTATTTAACAACACAAACCAGAACCTGCACATTGTGGATGCAATTCTGGGACCTTAGTGGATGGCCTCTGTTATTCCACTTGAGGATAAGATTACATTAATTACTATGGTTAATTTAGCCTTCTCTAAAACTCAAATGATATTTGGTTAGTTCAATTTCATCACTACCAAATGAGAAATTTGGCAATGAAGATGTATCCTGGACTTGCTTGACTTGTTTATGTTTGCTGGATTTCTATACGCATGACATAAGAACTCTCAAGTTTGTCCATAATCTAAGCATCAGTTGGTTCCATGATCAAATTTGCAAGTGATTTTCCAACCATTCAAGCCATTGTCTGATGTCCAAGTTGTGGGGTAAGTAGTATTCCAACGACAGAAAGATGGAAAGATGTTTGGTGTAGTTGGATAAAAGTAATAAGTTGAATTTGATGGCAAGCCTATGCATTTACTGACTAACCGGCTTTGCTGAAGAATGTACATGTGTTAATTTTGTGATCACATTAAGGCTATATTTGGTTTGGGAGGAAACATGGTTCTAATACTTTTGTCTTCACAGAGCAGAAATCTTTATAATTTGTTGAAAACAACCTATCATTCTTTAACATTTTGGTATGTAGCTTACATGTTAGTTTTGGTATTCCTTGATGTGGTTCATTATGCAATGTTTATCATTGCAAATTGTATTAATACTTCATTAAGGCACAATCATCTCATTTATAGTCATACACACATCGGTTGACAGTGTTTGATTAATTTTTTTTTTTTTTAAACTTTATTTTTAGTTGAAATAAATGGAGCTCAAGTGCAGAGAGCTTGATGTACAATATTCAGCCTATTCGCTAATAACTTAAGCTTTTGGGCAACTAATTATCTAATATGTAGCTGAAAAATCTGATTTTTGAGGTAGAGACAATTGTTTCAATTTTTGACAGCGTGAGTAAACTGATTCTGAATTATTTATTCATTTATTTCAATGTTATAGGTGCAAGCCCATATTGCTCGGGTCAGGTGACACTTGCAGTTGAGTGTAATAGATGGACAGCATCAACGACTGAAAACTTCCTCTGACCTGTGAGTGTACACCATTTCTCCCATAAACCATAAAATTTTACATCTTGCACTGATTTCATGGCAAACTTGAGCGTGCGTTCTGAGTCTGTAATATAGTATACTCATTTATTTACAATTCTGTACTTCTTTCTTATATATCTTCCTCTCTTTTATGTAATCCTTCTCAACGACTGTTGATTTGTACCAATGCAGAGGAGAAAGGAATGAAAAATTGTTTGTTGCAGTAAGATTCGAATCTACTATATTTTCTGAATGGTTTGCTGGAATGACTAAATAAAATTACTCATGTTTACATAATTTGTTTTAGAAAAAATAGTGATTCTAGCAGGAAAAGTGTGCTATACTAACTGATGTGTTGTGAAATAATGAAACTTTGAAAATTGAAACATGACACGCTTCAATAATAAAATAGATGTCACATGAAAGTAAGGTAATTTTGTAAAATTTATTAGTTTTTTTTTTTTTAACACCATTAATAGATCTCATCTGAATTCGACTGCTCAATCAATATTGAAATGTGTAAATGTAGATAATGAATGTTGTACGCATCATAAATATTTTGCATTAAACATAGATCTCTCACCTCTCTCACTATGTATTGAACAAGTGTCCTCACAAAATAACAAATTTAACTTAGGAAATTGTAGTAACAGACTTGGGGACTCAAAAAGATTCCTATAGTGTTGTGGGTAGTTTACAGTTTCTGAGTGATCATGTTTGGATAAGTACTGTAAAACTTGCAGTTTCAAAGGGGTATTAGATTTGAATTTTGATCTCTCTCTACAAGTGCTTTTTAGCTATGTATATGTGTTTGTCTTTACATATAGGAGGGTTCTGTCTTGGAGGCAAGACAAAAGTAACACGGCCTTCATGTGACACACCAAAGGCAGTGTCACCATCAGCTTGTAGAAAGAAAATATGCCTTTTGTTTTGATTAGCAGCTGCTGCCATGCCATGTAGCTCACCGCATTTCATTGAGATTGCTCAGTAGGGCCACTCTTTTAATCTTCTACCATTCTCATTGACAAAACATGGCATAGTTTTTCCCAAATAAGGGGTAAAAATTTTAGACACAATACGAATTAGAGGCAGTTAGCAAGTTAGAGTCAGTGTCAAAATACTTAACTCGATTAGTTAAACAGGTTAGGGTTTGGTTGGCATTGAGAAAATTTTGACTCAACTCAAAATAACACATCGGTTAAACTTTATTTGAAGGACATTTTTTCCCTTTTGCATCTTTATGCCTTGACAAAAGCCAAGTCTCCCTAACAATAGGACCACATATGACTTATTTCTCTGCAATTTTTTTTAACTAATAAGATACAAGTGTTAATGATCTCCAGAGTGTCTGTCTTGTTACACTTAGAATAGCATGGACAATGGTGTAAACTAGTCAAGTTGAAGTATGAGTTTGTAATCTATTAATAACTACAGTTAATGTAGTTAGACTCTACATCTTTTAGATGTTATAGCATACTAAGTGTATATATGTACATCCAAACCTCTACATTCCTATTATCATAATAATTATTATTGTATATAGAAATCTCCAATACATTCCTTGATGGGTATGTGTATGGTTGTAAAGTTTGTGGGGATATATATATAGATGTATTGGAAAGGACATTTTCAATGTCCTGAGTAAAACAAAAAGAGAAGACACAGATGTCGGAGATGGACATAGCCTGTATTGAGCATTAAATCTTACCCAGATCGCTTTCTAAGGCTTAGAACATGCAGATATTACTCTTTTGCTGAGTATAGTGCCTGGCTAGCTAGGCATATTTGTGGTTCTTATTTCAAGTGGGCTCAAATGTCCTGATTGTAACCCTCCAATTTGGTGGTGGTGGTGGTGGTGGTTGCCGATAGAGGACCACATGGACAGGCCCAAAACACTTCCTAGCTATTTTTATATTACGTCTAATAACACTGCATAAGGGTTAAGACTCTATAGATCTCTGACTCTTTCCTGACCCTGCAGTGGTGAGTGCACAAGGACTGTCTTTTTGTGTAATAACTCCACAATCTGCACTGGTAGAAATGTAGGTTGAGTGAACATTAAACCAAGGGGACATAATTGATTTAGTTTGTTAGTTTTGTTTTTTGGGTCCCTATGCAACACTAGCTCTTACTGTCTTTCAAGTTCCCAACTGAAAAAACTTTTAGTTACTCTCTAATCTCATTTTCTTTGTATATCTGCGGGCTAACAATCAGTACACTGGATTTTTCCCAGGAAAAAGATGGTTCACCTAAAGGTATATACGATCTATAGCATTGCTTCATACTGTTGGAACATTCGATGCAACAAGTTGATTATATCTGTTGGATCCATATGATCCATTTTTTTATCTAGGAATCTCCTAATAGGTGTGTGTATCCATTACTTATCCCGTGTAATTGTAGAAACTACAGTTTGGCGCACTGGATTAGATAAGATTAGTATTCTTAGATGTTTGGATTGGTTTGGAATATGAGGAAAGACAGACAAAATCCTATTAATTTTGTCTAAATTATGATAAATGTGGTTGAAAAATAAGAGAAGACCAAATATGTGAGAGATTTGAGATACCAAAATAACATGGGAATGAATGAAGTATATCTAAAGCAGGTGGTGGAATAAACTAGATTATCTGTTGTGGAGGATGATACAAGAGAGAGAGAGTATGGTAGTACATAAGTAGTCCTTGGACATAAAAATATGAATAGAATAATATATTCAAGTAAAGTAAGCTATAAGGTTAGCTTTATTTGTTTGTATTTATGTTGCTCACAAACCATATATCAGTAAAGTTAAACCTGAGGCAGCAGAGTTAGTGCACATGGGTTCTGCAAAAAATCTTATATTATGGATTCACTGTGACAAAAGTGCTCTCTCACCCACGTGACACTCTTCACTTTGCACAGAATCAACAAGCCCCAACAATTACAAACAACCAAACTATCTTCGACAGACTGCTACTCTTCAGTTCGGTTATTATAGTTAGGAAATCGTTACTATACACACTTTCCAAAGATACATGTATTTAAAATTTCAGTCACAATTGTTTGTAAATTGTAATAGTGAGTTTGTTCCATAATCAAGATTAAATTGATTCATAACAAAAATGTGATAATAAGACATGATAACTAAGTTCATTACAAATTTGATCATCACAAAAATCTCATAACTAAGCACCACATTATTCATAATTGAAATCACAAATCTTCATAATTAGGACTATAAGAATGATAAAGTTTTGAGGTTGGGGCTGAAATAGCAATGGCCATTTGAGTATTGATATGATGAGAAAAGTTAAAATCATATAAAGAAAATAAGAGAATTGATTAGGGACTTGAGACACAAACGGTCTGAATGGAAATTGAATTTGGGTTAATTACACCGATAGTCCTTACATTGTCTTTTGTGTCATTTTGATCCTTATATTTCTAATTGGCTCAATTTTGATTTTTAATTTTAGATTTTGTGTCATTTTGGTGATTGAATTTATAATGTATATTCCTCTTATTTTTACCAAACCAAATATATAAATGAGTATTCTAGCCTTCATTCCAATAAACCAAACATTGACTTTATTGTTTCTGAGCCTTCATCTTCTTCTCCCTTTCTCCACTCCTCTTCTAGTTTTGCTCTTACCTCGCATCTTACCCAATGCTCATAAAGTTTTTCTTGTTTGCCATAATTGTGTGGTAAATTGTTAGCCCCTTATCCTTTTATGCGAGTCTGCGAGGGCTGATTGGTTTGGGTCTATGTTGGGGTTGTTTTGCTTCTGCACCAAGCTTCTTCTGAAGTTGAATCTTTTCTCTTAGTTAGGCCCAAGTTTGATCATTCATGATCCAAACACAGCCTTACTATCAGCAGGAGGCACCCTTTATTTTCGATGGGCTAATTGTTTCAACAGCTTACTATCAACTGCAACTCTTTCTGCTCTTAATTGTGCTTATAAGCACAATTTTCTGCGCGTTGATTTTATTACTAACTCTTTGAGTATCTGTTTTAGCAGATGAAGGGCATTAAAGATATTCAGGTGGTGGCAGCTTCATGGTTTTTTTGATTTTTGTTATCTCACACAATATTTTCATTCATGCCAATTATCTCTACAGCCACGAAGTTTGCTCACAACAGCTTTTTCCTTAGCCCAGTTTGCAACATTTTTCTGTGTCTCTTCTTCTCATGGAGACGCCTATTTTCCTTTTGATATCAAATGATCCTACCTGAAAGCATCTAGTCAATCTATTGTTATTTTCTCATCTGATCTTTTTTGTCTTTGCTTCAGTTTTTGTTAAGGCTTCTTCATGTTGTTAGAAAAGGATGAAAAGAATTGTTGACTTACCTATGAATGAGGTAGAGCCTTGTATTTATAATGAAACAATATTACAAAATAGGAAACGAACAAAATAGAGAACCAAGATAAAAAAAATGTATTAAATCTGTGATTGACACAATCATAGAAATCACAGATTTAATACACACTACCATAATTACAATATCACTATTTCCTAATTCCAACACTCCTCTTCAAGTTGATGTAAAGATATTCAATAAACGCAGCTTGCCGATAGACGACTGGAGTAATGTTGGGCCTACAAACTTGGTGAATATATTTGCTAACTGTTGAGAAGAAGAGAAAGGATGGTCTCACAATACCAATCTAAACCTTCTCTCGAATGACATATATATCAACCTCTATATGCTTAGTACGCTCGTGTAGGACAAAATCAGAGGACAACATAATAGCAGACTTGTTGTCACAAAACAAAGAAGTATGAGCAGTCTTCTCAAATCCTAACTTTGCCAAAATAGAACGTTGTCATAGAATCTCACAAATGCTTTGTGCTATAACCCTATACTCAACTTCTGCAGAAGACCTAGAAACAACTGTTTGCTTCTTACTTTTCTATGATATAAGATGATCATTATAAAAAATACAGAAGCCAGAAGTAGAACGCTTATCCATTCTCGATCCTGCATAGTCAGCATCAGTAAAACAGAAGAGCCCAGATTGAGGATCAGCTGTGAAGAACAATCCCAAGCCAAGAGAGGTCTTCAAATATCTCAAGATGTTCTGTATAAGGTGCATGCATGAATTGGCTAACCACACTAACCGCAAATGTCAAGTCAGGTCTTGTACTGGTCAGATAGATGAGACGCCCAACAAGACACTGATACATATCTGGGTCCTCCAACACTCTAATGTGAGCTTGAAATTGGAATCCATAAAAGTAGAAG